AAATCTTCCACTAGTTCACTCCCGACACACTACTACCCTCATCCCTAACGCCTGAGTATAACTTCGTCATACATAAACAAAACATAACCACTTGGCCTTTCACTAAAAAGTAAGGGAGTAAAACAAAACCTACGTAAGCTCCCTTGACAAAGTTAAAAATAAAATATATTAAATCAATATATAAATAATGAAATAATTACGTAAATAAAAATATAAGCATATAAAACCTTCCTTGATACTTTTATCCCCTTTAAAAAAATAATAAGAAAAAGGTAGAAAACATTTACTTCTTTCTCAGGCGCGCGCGCGCGCGCACACACACGCACACACACACACACACTTACTTACTTACTTGAAGTAAATCATGAAAATAGTTATACCTTCGGACGAATGTGAAAGCCAAAACATACATAATTACTTTTACCGTCTATAATTATTATGAAATAAGTGATATAAATTCTAGACACAGCACATTAACCCCTTGAATACAGTATCATCTTATCAAGGAAGGATGGGGTCACCGTATTCAAAGGGTTCAAACATCACACTCCAGGGATTATGTTACCTTCCTCAAGGGGGGTTAAGTCATTTTCCTCAAGGGAGGTTGAGTCACTTTCCTCCGAGAGATTAAGTCATCGTATCAAAAGAAGTTATATTACCTTATAATACAGAGGGAGGTGCCGAGTGGTGCTGTTTTTCAGAACTGTGACCTTGACCGTTGACCGAGTAACCTTAAGACAACACTATAGCTCTTGTCGTCCTCAAGTCATGTTATGGACAGACATACAAACATCCATAATAGTTTATTTATTATATACGGAGAAACACGGCACCAACCGCCCTACTAACGCGGTCTCCTCGGTGTTAGAATCGACCTGAGGGTTTTTAGATAAGAATTATAACAATTCTGAGCGGTGACACAGCTACGTGTGTGTGTGTGTGTGGGTGACCTCAGAGTTCACCAAAGAAGGTGATATCCTTAATAACTCATATCATTGTACCATAGCTGGAAGATCGTCATACCGATTCCGAGTGACAGCAAAGTAGTCGTAGTTTTATCACGATGGGCGTCTTCCCTGGCAACAAAGAAATGAGAAACAAATAACAATAAACTATCAATGCACAAAATAAATTAAAATTAAAACGTTACCTAAATACCTCAAATAAATCAACAAATAACATAACCTGGGAGGATGACACGGTATATAAGATACACTATTTCCTCTCCCCCCCCCCACCAAAAAAATGAATAATAATAATAAAATATATATAATATAAACAAAATAAAAAGGCCTGAGGCGACAGAGTGTGAGGAGCTAAGGGAGAGATAACGTTAAAGGAGTTGCCATTAACGTGCCTTCATATATTGGTTGTTACCGTCCTGGTGGCTGTTAGAAAGTGGTAGACTCACAAAGATTCCTATGATAAGTTTTTCTCGCAATAGAAGACTTAAGACAATAAGACAAAAATGTCGCTACGAAAATGCACTACCTTATTTATGCTTGAGTCAGATTCAGAGATCCGCACGATAAATATTCCTAATGTCCAAAGACTTTACGCTAAAACAATGTGGAGGAAAATATCTTAATTACAACTGAGGTTCCACGTGTTATCCGGAGATGTTCAATTGGCACCACTACAGTAAAGTTCAAGTCAGTCTAGGATGGTGGATCAGTCAACCTTTGAGTTTCGACGCCTATCACCCACTTGACCTAATCCAATGTACACTTTTCCCAAAAAGTATCGGCCCCTTTCCTCATCGATACAATGTGTCACAATGGATGAATATTTCCAATCACTAATTGTGATTCTTGCCATTATGTTGGTAGGCCTGCCTTCCTAGTATCTGTGAGGTTGCCAGTTATTATTTCTGGCATTTGCTGTAATTACGGTGAATCACCGTGCTCCAATGTAGCGAAATTATATCAACGGCAGCCAAATAGTGGGTGTTTTCTGCTGGAAATCCATGTCTAACACTAGTACCCGAGACTCCTGGTAAACACAGCTTGTCCCGACAGACATCGTCTGGTAGTGTGTATCAGATAATGTTCCGTTGCCAGCATGAATCACAAGATGATACGTTATATTCATAATTGTTACCTCATCAATTGAGGTAGAAATAATATCGGAATGCAGTAAATCATAATAACATTGTAATTGGATATGGCATCATAATACACTTGTAATTACTATATTTGCAAATGAATGTAATATCAGATCACAGTGTTTCATATTTCGTTTGAAGCGATTCCAGTGTAACCTCGGTTCATGAAAACATAGTAACGTCATATTCCTGTTTGGCACCTCATCCCCGGGGGCTGAAATTTAATAGTATCTAGGTGCATAAATCAGCGGTGTTACTCAAGACGTTGTTGGTTTTGCATTTGGTATCACAATTCATCCTATTTCATTACATTATGTAGAGAATAGTTGGTACAGTATACTGCAGATATCTTGGTGATTATCAGGTGCAAGAGGAATGAATGAAAGGTGCAACACGATCAGAAATGCCAACTGAACCGAGACTGCTGTGCACATGTTATTGTGTTCATTTCTAAATCCATCAGGCCCAAGGGGGGCCTATAGTTTTTGGGGAGTGTACACTAGCCGTTAAGTCGTCGTACTCTGGAGCTTGAATCATCGTATTTAAGGGGTAAATGTATCTTACTTCTAGGGTTAATTTATTCCACTCAGAGGGTTAAGTCGTCGTACTCGAAGAGGTTAACAGACAGTGATACTGGAGGGTGGAAGATATTAACCCTTACATTACTGACCACTTGTACTCATATATGATTAACGTTAACCAATTAACGCAGAATATTTACAGCCGCGTTAGAAATCCTCTATCTATCACTCACTCACTCACACCTCTCCCTTCATCCTCCCTCTTACTCTTCACCATCCATCCCTACCCGACTAACCGCTAAACAGGCACATCTTCCACCCTACTGAGCAGTGCCAAGAGATGACAACAACACGACACATTATTTTTGTGGTCTATCCATGCTGAAAACAACTCTGAGACAGAATGCGTAACAGTGGTAACGCCGCTACACAACCATCATCACTGTTAGAAGGGTGCATGTGTGTGATTGTGTTTTATAGCTAGACGGCAGACAACACGATCCAATCTTAACCTAACCAAAATGTAATGCTTAATTTTTCCCGGGAACTCACCGAAACAGCGTTCCGGCACCTTTTTTTGCGATATACACACACACCATATATATATATATATATATATATATATATATATATATATATATATATATATATATATATATATATATATATATATATTATTATAATCAACGACCTCACCAGCCAGGAATCAAACCCTCGACCTACTGGGTGGGACTAGGGAACGCTACCGACCAACCCACAAGGACACTAAAAGCAGTCCTAGACTCTGTTATATTTCACACAAAGCCTGTTCATCGAGCTGATGGCGCCGTGGACCTCGTATGTGGTGTCAGTAGCATTTTACCGAATCCAGCTGGTATGAAACACGAGGTACCATATATATACTTCATTTTTAGTCCATATAACACGCGGACTCTGGACATATAATCAACGACCTCACCAGCCAGGAATCGAACCCTCGACCTACTGGGAGGTAGGTCGAGGGTTCGATTCCTGGCTGGTGAGGTCGTTGATTATATGTTCAAAGTCCGCGTGTTATATGGATTAAAAATGAAGTGTGTGTGTGTGTGTGTGTATATATATATATATATATATATATATATATATATATATATATATATATATATATATATATATATATATATATATATATATATAATATTAATATATATATATATATATATATATATATATATATATATATATATACACATATACATATGAGTAGTACCTATTGTAGTTTGGTTACCACTAGTTTAGTTGCAATAAGAAATTTGTACTGTGCTGTTTTTGTCCTAGTAAATTGTAAATGCAATCAGCTATCATAAAAACTGCCATCAGTACTATGTATATAATTTGTTATCAATACTTAGCAATAATAATTGACTTGCCAGTTCCGCAGACTCGGTGGATTGCTTCTCACCATTTGTCGCCGACTCACTTGAGTACCACCACTTTTTTCTTCAAATTAAGTAACGCTCCTAGGTTAATCTTTGGGGTCAGGATAAGTTAGGTTTAGATATGTTAGGTTACGTTTGGCTGTTACTTTTCGACTTCTACCAGAAATAAATATGGCGTCCATCAGCGCCTAGCCATGATAATGTTGATTTTTTTATTTTACGAAAAGACTAAAAAACGCTAAGAAAGTCGGGAAAATTAATTTTGAGTAGACAAAAATGAAAACTTTATTAATTAGGAAGATATTTTTTTAAACAATTTCATTAACCAAACGTTGCTATATTTCAAAAAGGCATTAACGTTATATTATAAATGTGTGTGAACCGAACCGTACGTAGGCCGAGGAGCCGAACTGTGACCCTAGGAGCTAGAACTGTGAGCCATGAAGCCGAACTTTGAGCCGAGGAGTCGAAGTGTGAGCCAAGGAGTCGAAGTGTGAGCCCAGGAATCGAAATGTAAGCAAAGGAGCCAAATTTTGAGCCGAAGAGCCAAACTATGAGCCGAGGAGCCAGACTATGAGCCGAGGAGCCGAATCGTAGACCGAGGAGCCGAGCAGTGACACTAGGAGCTGAACTGTGTGCCGAGAAACCGAACTATGAGACGAGGAGCCGAATTATGAGCCGAAGAGCCGAACTATGAGCCAAGGAGCCGAACTATGAGCCAAGGAGTCAAAATGTGAGTCGAGAAGTCGAATTGTGACCCGAAGAGCTGAACTATAAGCCGAGAAGCCGAACTAGGAGCCGAACTAGGAACCGAATTGTGAGCCGAGGAGTCGAGCTGTAAGCCGAGGAGCCAAACTGTGAGCCGAGGAGCCAAACTGTGAGCCGAGGAGCCGAACTATGAGCCGAGGAGCAGAACTGTGAGCCGAGGAGCAGAACTGTAAGCCGAGAAACCGAACTATGAGCCGAGGAGCCAGAACGGAGAGGCAGGCCAAGGGACCACTTAAGACTGGTACTTGTGTCTGAAGGATAATCAATATCTGGGCCGGCTGGCTCAGCCACGCCCGTCATCACCCGCGCCCGTCCTCACACTGGCCTGTCATCACCCGCGTTCGTCATCACCGCGTCCGTCTTCACCCATACCAGTCATCACACATACCAATCATCATCCACGCCAGTCATCAACCACACCAGTCATCACCCACACCAGTCATCACCCGCGGCCGTCATCACCCACCTCAGTCAACACCCGTGGACGTCACCACCCGTGCATCATCACCCGCAGCCGTCATTACCCGCAGCTGTCATCACCCGCCCGTCATCACCCACGGCTGTCAACACCCGCGCCCGTCATCACCCACGCCAATCACCCGCCGTCATCACCCGCGGCTGTCACCACCCGTGCCAGTCATCACCCGCAGCCGTCATCACCCGCGCCCATCAACACCCGTGCCCGTCAACACCCGCGCCCGTCAATACCCGCGCCCGTCAACACCGCGCCCGTCGTCATCACCCGCAGCCGTCATCACCCGTGGCCGTCACCACCCGTGCCAGTCATCACCCCGGCCGTCATCATCCGCGGCTGCCATCATCAGCGGCTGTCAATCACCCGCGGCTGTCATCATGTCATCGCGGCTGTCATCACCGCGGTTGTCATCACCGCACCGTCATCACCCACGCCGTCATCACCCGCGGCTGTCATCACCCACGGCTATCACCGCGGCCGTCACCACCCGTGCCATTCATCACCCGCGGTCATCATCCACGGCTGTCATCATCTGCGGCTGTCATCGCGGTTGCATCACCATCATCACCCGCGCCCGTCATCACCGCGCCCGTCATCACCCGCGCCCATCATCACCCGCGCCCGTCATCACCCGCGCCCGTCATCACCCGCGCCGTCATCACCGCGCCCGTCATCACCACACCAGTCATCGCCTGTCATCACCCCGCCGTCATCACACCACACCAGTCATCACGCGACCGTCATCACCCGCGCCAGTCATCACCTGCCGTCATCACCACATCTGTCATCATCAACATCACTGCGGCTGTCATCACCGCGGCCGTCATCACCGTGGCCGTCATCACCCGCGGCCGTCATACCCGCCGTCACCACTGTGCCAGTCATCACCAGCGGCCGTCATTACTGCGTCAACACCTGCGCCTGTCATCACCCGCGCTAGTAATCACCGGCGCCAGTCATCACCACGCCCGTCAACATGTGAGTCATCACCCGCAGCCGTCAACATCTGTGCCAGTTATCGCCCGCGGCCGTCATCAACTGCGCCTGTCATCACCAGCGCTTGTCACCAGCGCTTGTCATCACCTGCGCTAGTCATTCACCTGTGCCAATCATCACCTGCGCCCGTTATCACCCGCGGCCGTTATCTCCTGTGTACGGTAGAAGTCAAGTTGGACGTGAAGACCGTGGTGGTGGTGGAGGCGGTGGTGGTGGAGGCGGTGGTGGCGGACGGTGGTGGTGGTGGTGGTGGCGGTGGTGGGTGTGGGAGGCGGTGGTGGGGTGGTGGGGCGGTGGTGGTGGTGGTGGGAGGTGGTGGAGGTGAAGGTGGTGGTGGGGAGGCGGTGGTGGTGGTGAGGTGGGGTGGTGGTGGTGAGGGTGGTGGTGGTGGAGGTGGCGGTGGTGGTGAAGAGGTGGTGGGAGGTGGTGGTGGAGGTGGAGGTGGTGGTGGTGGTGAAGGCGGTGTGGTGGTGGTGAAGGTGGTGGAGGTGGTGGTGGAGGTGGTGGAGGTGAGTGGTGGTAGTGGGAGGCGGTGGTGTGGTGGAGGCGGTGGTGTGGTGGTGGTGGAGGCGGTGGTGGAAGTGGAGGCCGTGGGGTGGAGGTGGAGACCAAGTGGTGGGGAGGCAGTGGTGGGAGGTGGGGCCGTGGAGTGGAGGTGGAGGCCGAGGTGGAGGTGTTGGCCGGAGGTAGTAGAGGCCGTGGTGGGAGGTGGAGGCCGTGGAGGCCGTGGGGTGGAGATGGAGGCCGTGGGGTGGAGACCGAGATGGTGGTGGAGGCCGAGGTGGGAAGTGCAGGCCGTGGGGTGGGAGATGGAGGCCGTGGGGGTGGAGACCGAGATGGTGGTGATGGCCGAGGTGGAAGTAGAGGTTCGTGGTGGTGGAGGCCGTGGGGTGGTGGTGGAGGCCGTGGGGTGGTGGTGGAGGCCGTGGGGTGGTGGTGGAGGCCGTGGGGTGGAGGTGGTAGCCATTGTGGAGGTGGAGGCCACACAGGGAGAGGGAGGGAGGGAGGGAGAAGAGGTAGTAAGCCCCTCCAGTAATCACGGCTGTGTTTGGTGAAGCCGTGTTCAAATATTGACGTCGCGGCGTAAAATGAGGAGCACCAGAAGCAGTTCTCTCCTGGTGATGCTGTCTCTATGTTTATGTGTGTCTCTCTCCCGATGATGAGGCATCTTTATGTTTCTCTGTATGCTGGGGAGTCTCTACCTGTCTCTGCATCAAACCGTCATGTTCATTTGTGGTCTTGTTTCTCGAGCTCAGCATCTGTATCTCACACTGTCTCTTTTCCTCACACTACCTGTCACGATCTCACACTATATGTCCCATTACATGACATTGTCTCTCAGTCTCTCCGTCATACAACATGACACTATCTAATACTACCTGCAGCTCTGTTGAGGTACTCATTGTCCTTGTCCTAAACAGCCTCCCTAGCTTCACTTCCACCATGTGTCTGTCTGTCTGTACGCCATCAAACTACCACAGCCATCAAAAACACCCAATCCATTCTAAAAACAACTGCCTCAAACATTCCAGGACGGACGGACGGACGGACGGACGGACGGACACACACACACACACACACACACACACACACACACACACACACACCACACACACCACACACACACTCTCTACTACTACTTTGCTGTCACTCGGAATCGAGTATGACGATCATCCAGCTACGATACAATGATGTAAGTTATTAAGCATATCACCTTCGTTGGTGAGTTATGAGATGACTGAAGAGGCCGATACGGCACCGGCAGGGTCGTCTATACACGTTGCACGTGTGGAAGGCTACATCTAGTGCGGGAGGGGCGGCGGCAGCGTCCTTGAGCGTTGGCGCTTGTCTGCCTCGGTATGCAGTCGGGCTTACTCGAAAGTATTGATACCTTCTTGTCTGGTGCTCCTCCAAGCGTTACAGTGTGGAGTAATCGTCTCCCAAGTGAGGGGGTCGATTTGGCACTTTTTCAGGTTTGTCTTAAGACTATCCTTATACCTTTTCAGTTGCCCGCCGGCGTTACGTTTACTATTCGTGAGGTGACTGTAAAGCAGCTGCTTTGGCAGTGTACTGTCGTCCATGCGGGTAACATGGCTAGTACAGCGTAGTTGTTCATGGATAATGGTAGCTGTTCGTGTTCTGGGTAATAAGTTCAATATACAGGAGCGAACACAAACACCTGTATAGTTTTGTAGGTTCGATTTACTGGATAAGAGATATGTACACAAGGGGAGTAGCGCTCTTCAACCTGTCCGCTGGTCAACTGCTCTATAGACGACGTATGGCAAGTGACACACTAACAGCTTCCATATGTCGCCAGGCACATTAATTAAACATGTGGGACATGGTAATTACATTGCCACACGCTGCTAGCTAGGCTGAATAAATAATATATATAAATGGAGCACATACATAATATACATACATAATATATAATACAGCATACATAATATACATACAGTAGCCTCGATGCTCCTACAGGTGGTGTCACCGAGAATACTGGCATTTGTTCTCTTTTCTTCCCAGCGAACTCAGAAGATGGAACGTAGACTACGTTGGTGAAAGTTTCCAAGTGCCTTGAGGTGCCTCCTGTATGTGACCCATGTCTCGTTGCCATATAGCAGGGTGGTAAGGACCACTGCTCGATATGCATGCACTTTGTAGATAATTTCAGCTCTTTACAGCTGAAGAAACGAGCACGGAGTCTGCCAAAGGCTTGAGATGCACATCTGATCCATGTTGAATCTCTTAATCGATGTCGCGGTGGTGGACAGGTGGGAGTCGAGAGACCGAAAGTGGGTAACATTAGAGAGGGTAGTACTGTTATGCTGGATGGATGGTGCAGGTGTGGCTGAACCAGGTGCAGGCTGAAAGAGAATCCGAGTCTTACGTACATTCACCTCAAGGCCGAAGTGTGAATACGCATCTGCGGAAATGTTCAGGATCTCTTGAAGGTCGCGTTCAGTGTGAGCAACAAGGGTGAGGTCGTCTGTATACTGAAGTTCAGTAATGGCAGCTGCCGACACCTTTGTTCCTTCCTGAAGTCGTCTTTGTTGAAAAGACTCTTCATCCGGTACTCGATGTCCACCCCGCCAGCTAAATTGGCAATGGAACGAATAAGGATGGCAGCCAAAAAAATGGAAGAGAGAGTTGGTGCCAGCACACATCCTTGTTTTACCCCCGTTTGGATAGGGAAGATCTCAGACTGGGTGCCATTGTGCAGGACACTGCCGTTCATGCTTAAATAATGAAGAAAATTTGAACTGAGAGTCTTGTGGGAGCCCTCGTTGTAGATGAGTTGCCAATTCATTAATACAATTTCTTCATTATTTAATCAAATATACGAACATTTGGAAAATTCTTATGATCTAAATAACAATGAATAGTTTATTATTAAAGAAATTCTACATATGGATTGTTTAATATTTATCCAGACAGTGATAAGAGCCGAAAATCGATCCACCAATCACAATCCCCATTACATACAGGCATATTTTACAAGTATTGACAAGTAAAATTGCGAGTACGAGGGCCAGGGTGGGGGTCGATGCATCTTTGGTTGACTGTACAACAAACTAGTTCTCTAGTTACTGTATAAGCATGCGTAGACCCCCTCCACGTTTAGGTTTCCAGCCAACACCTCACACACTGTTAACACAACAGTTGTTATTATGACTTACTATATATAAACCTGGGTGTTGATGGGTAAATAATACAGCGTAATCATTAACTATGTTATAAACGCCACTGAAAAAATGGCAAAGCTTTAGGTGCACATTGGTGGCAAAAAAAACCTCGATATTTCCCACTGCATCTGGCACCTAATTCTGGACATATGCTGTACAAGTGTTGGTTACAGCTGGTGAACGTTATTTTGATAGTGTATAATGTCACACTACCAACAATAAAAACATTTAAATATCAAGAAGAAACTGATGAATAGAGGTGAAAATGCCAATCCTCCTCACCTTCATGACCCTACGTAGGTGTCAGACGCTACCACAGGTGTCCAGGAATACTCAATTACCTTAAACGTTACTTGTTAAAGTAACATAATATCGACAATCAACATTAACGACGCCAGCATCACAATAGCGCTAGATGACACACACACAGCTAAAACTGATACTAGAAATTCTTCCCATTCCCAATCTTAATACTTCCATTAAATTTTATGTAAACGTGTTTTAACTGAGCATGAAGTTGAGTCAAAACAGTGGCCGAAGTATTGCTCCTCCCTACAATCTATTTGGGGGAATCGCGACTTGATGGCAGCAAACTCTACTAAACTTCTCCCGGATACTTTAAAACAATCACGAGATCTCGAGTGCATACACATTACTCCAAACTGTCGGTCTGATGTCTGTAGACTACACCTATTCCCCTCCCTTGACCTCCGATTTATTTACATGAAGATATAGTAAATATTGGTTGGACATGATGGTTCGCGTCCAGATGTTTGTTTAAATCCCCCAAATGTTCATACAGTTCATAATCCACTACTGTCATGGCCACTCTTGGACTCGGTCTCATCGTTACACCCCGTGACCAACCTACTCATCCCCGTAGTAAACGCCTCTTTAGAGTATATATACCTTCACTACCGGACTGGGTGGAGTATATCATTTAACCTCAACCAATATCAACAACATGGTGCTCTTGTGGCCAGTCTCAGATCACGTGCTCAGGCAACAGTGGCGTGGAAAATGTAAACACTCGAACTTTTAATGTTTATGTAAGCAAATAAGTCACCGGCACGCTGTGGTGTGTATATATATATATATATATATATATATATATATATATATATATATATATATATATATATATATATATATATATATATATATATATATATATATATCATATACACGCGAGGTCTGTCAATTCCAAAATCCTATACATCTTATATATTAAAATTGTATAACTCCATCTCTTACTTCAAAAGAGCCTTTTTATGAGAGAGAGAGAGAGAGAGAGAGAGATAGAGACCTTAACGTTTACCGTGATAATACTGAAACGTGGTGACTCCTGCCCCTAGATTGTTCATGTTACCATCACGCTGAAACTGATTACCAATACTATTGCGATGTCTTAAGTTGTTGTAGGTGTACAATAAAATATTGTAAACACGCACGCACACACCCGGTGATGGACCTTAAAGGGTATTGACTCTGTCTTTTGCTCGGCACCCTCACAATGTCAACATGACTAACTACCCTACCAGCGACAGCACGAGCAGTAAAGAACGTCTGGCATTCTCCTCCACACCGGAGATGACAATCAGGGGTGACTATTAAAAAAAGTTAAACCAGGACCCATTACTTTTATAACTGTTAATGTCGGTACACTTGAAAAAAACAATATTCTCGTACGCGTCAGCGTAAAATAAATAATGTGAAAAAAAATATTCACCGAAATGGGTCTGAGGCGTGACATGGCATAAATTAACAGTTAACAACAACAAAGAGGTCAAGAGGACAGAAGACACCATTAATTTAGCTCAGTATGTAAAATTAATTTCTAAAAACTTCTAACATGTTACAACTTAAATAATAAAACAAATCCGATATTAACGTCCTCATTGTTCCCTTTACGAAAACTAAACACTGAAATGACATAGCATAAGCGCTTTGGTGGTTACCAGCGGTCTATTTCTGCAAATTTCGAACCATATGGAAAAGTCATGAATTCGTTACTAAAATTACTTAACACCGTTTATATAACAAAAAATTTAACGAACGGATGTTGGAATTATCAAATATGAATTGTCTTTACGATGACAATCATCCGTCACGATGGTTCCCTGGCGTCTCCTGTTGCATGACGTAATATAATTAATGGGTCAGACACTAATGGGTCAGACATAGAACGTGCGAGCCTCACTATGACAAGTTCTCTTCCTCTGGAGGAACATGCCAGTACTCCTACAGGACGAGGACCCCGACTAGGAGATGCGTAACACACTATTATAACTGTCGTGTCTAGGGGAAATCAAAGTATCGAATACTATATATATTTGCCCCAACGAGTACTCTTATACAAAACTTCGCCCCACTCCTTCAATAAATATATCAGTAAAACACAATAATATAAGAATTTATTCTACAATTTTAACAATCAATGTAAAATATATATCTGGTACAATGCGCTAAAATAGCAAATGATACTCGACACTGCTTAAATTTAGATCCTGAGATAAATTTAAACAATATGTGTGTGACCCAACAAGCCTGGTGTCTATGGGTCAGTTCATACACTTTTTGCCAAGGAGATATCTTTTACGTGTATGTTGTATGGGTTGTGAAGCCCTGGCAATGCCACCTGAGTCTGGCTGCCTCCCTCGTGTAATGCCCTTACTAAGTTGTTCCTCCTCCCTCATACACTTTTTCTTCCTACAGCCGACGGTCTCTCTCTCTCTCTCTCTCTCTCTCTCTCTCTCAACCTTCTACCTTCCACTGCACCCATATATCTAAAATTTTCTCCCCTGATCCTCCCCTCACCGCACTGCACCTCATCCTCACCACACCGATCATACACAAGTGCTCACACCCCTCACAACCATAGCCTCCTACACCAGTCGTCTCTAGTAAAACACCCCCAGTAAAGTCACCATCTCATTTTTATTTACAAACTTCTCACAAGCGACTCGTCTCTCGTGTGACACCTTGTTGGCCAGGAGTTTCGTCGTAAAGGGTAATACTGAGGTAAAATTTTTTGCGACAGTGGTGAATGGGATATAACTCTCCTAACAAGATGTATAAACTCCGCCAATAACTACTGGTCGAGTTGATTTTATTACCATAGGTGCAGACGGACATACTTACCAGAGTGGAACCATCCAGACACCAGTACTGCATCCACCCACAGGCGCCACAATACCAAGCTGTCTTATATTCCATTGAAAACAAAAAGACGACATTATTTTATACATTTCCCTGAATAAACTATAAGATTATTTCTTAAGTAGATAATATATAATTTTACCGTAATAATATGAGGCGTCTAGCGTAGGAGGGACGAACTCGCCAGTCCCCCCCAAAATCCGTTTTCTATGGCTAGTCATTGTATTATGCACACCAACTGTAAACACAAAAATTATCAATACATGCATAGAACATAACTGAGGCAATTCTATCAATATTCCATGCCGCTGTGTGATTTTACAGTTCTAAAACTTTGACGTGCGTTTACTCAAAACTATGATTTGGTGAGTTCGTCATTCCTATGCTAGACGCCTCAGAATTATATCCTTATAAAAGCTCGAAACACACACACACACACACACACACAGATAGCTTTATACTCCCTCCCCTCATATCTGTCGAGTGGATAAAAAAAAATTATACACGATAAACGAAAATTAAATAATGAACCTCCGCGTGTCGTGATATCTCTGACGTTTGTTGTAACAGATTAACTTCGTACTGCACACAGGCGCAAACACTAACACGCACCACCATAACCACAATATAAAACAGGCAGTCTGGCACTCAAGTCTCAGGCGTGGGCCATTCATCAGCTACTGGAGGATAACTTCCTATCGGCTGAGGGAGGGAGGGAGGGAGGTGGTCTTCACACTCCGCGTCCAGGAGAAAAAGCCCCGTACAATTTGGAGGGGGAACTTTTATAATTAACTCACAGTTTCATAAGAGCTTGGAAAGTTAAATGCACTTTTTAACACTCCCCAAAGTTAGCCGAGTAATCACTCATCTTCAAAAAGCTCAGCACGAAAACACGTAAAATAATAATAAAAAAAAATCATGGTACAGTAGCTTCTACAGCCTTCGTAACTAATAATGCCTGCTGATAAAAAAGAGATACTAGAAAAATGATAATACTAATAAAATAACAATAAGAATGGTACTATTAATAATAATGTTAAATTTAAGTAATATTGTAGTAATTATAATAATTAGGATATTCAATTTTAAGGCAATAAAATGGCGGCGAAGGTGTGGCTATAGGGGGAGGATGGAGGCCACTTTCTAAAAATAAAAATAAATAAATAAATAAATAAAAATAACAGTAGTAGTAGCACCACTACTACTACTACTACTACTACTACTACTACTACTACTACTACTACTACTACTACTACTACTAATAATAATAATAATAATAATAATAATAATAATAATAATAATAATAATAATAATAATCCCAGAAGCCACTGAACCCTCACCCTTTTGTATAAATAATCTCTCTCTCTCTCTCTCTCTCTCTCTCTCTCTCTCTCTCTCTCTCTCCAGATCAAGTGCGTGATGGTGTTTACTTTTCTCTCTAGTGTTAAAGCTACCTGTCTTCACCTCCAATGTACTCTGTACACACCATACCTGCCTCTCGCTACTCCGACACCCTCCACACAGCACTCACCTGAGAGGGAGAATAAATACGTGTTATTGTATATATATAATACGTAATCAAGGGAACATATTTTTATATTAAATAATTAAAAATTTTATTAGGAAATATCAGGACGATTGCATTAAAAAAGAGGCGAGGTTGGTGGCATTTTATCTTTTAATTTCACAAACTTAAAAGATTTATAGTACCCTTTGTTTTTCTTTCCACATATTTTTCTCATCTGAAACTAAAAATATGTGTAGTCATTTTAATTTGCAAGCTTCAATACAGTATAAAAATTATTCGGTGTTCGTCTTACGTGTGACCTTCATAATATTAAACTGATGAACAAAACAATTAATCCTTGGTTCACCGCTCATAGTTGTAACACCCGCATACCCGCCATAGTGTACGAAATAATCCCACTTAAAATCCCATAAATTAGAGAACGATTCAAACTTGTGGTAAACAAGGATTCACTATTATTTTCTCTAGGCATGAAAATCGATCCCACGACATTTTTATTTTATTATTTTTTTGAGCGCGAGAGGGACTGAACCACACACTTTTTTTTTCTACATGGCCTCACCATTACATTATTGTTCTACAAGACAATATGGTCTGACCTATTTCAAGAAATTCCTTAGACTAATTATGCCCGTGGTCTTTTTTCCTTTACGCCGACTGTAATTAATCTTATTGATAAGTCTGGGCCACCGACCTTACTGCATTTCCCCACCTTAGTCCCTCCCCACCACAGCTCCTCCTCAGTGCACCAGCCAGGGCCTGTGACCTCCCACGACCTCCCATACACCCATATCAGCAAACCTACTCTAACCCCCATTTAAAAGGCAAGAAGGTGATAAAGCCAGCAGGTCCCACCACACAAAGGAAACACGTGCCGGCACTGACGCTTCCACGGCTGATAAGCCAACCCCGCTACAGCTGACACTACACATATGGCACCATTTCTATTGACACCCCAGGTATAACATCTATATTGGTACCCCACATATGGCAACATCTATATTGGTACTCCATACAGTATATGACAGCATCTGTATTGGTACCCCACATGACACCAATGTTACCGATAACCCGACAAATGGCACGGTCACATGGCATTCTGGGTATATCTGTGTAATGCCTAGGTGTAATGCTTAGGATATATACTCTATGTCTACACAGTTCCTAGGTATACCTACTTGTATAGTGTGCGTATTATCTATAGGCTTATAACCAGAATATATCTAGCTGTGTAAAGCCAGGGTATATCTGTCTGTGTAAAGGCCAGGTATACACACCAGTATCAACAATATCCACAGGTTCATACACTTTACACACTACTGAAACAAAGGGGAGGACAACCTAAATACCATGGACGAACGAGACTACATTTACATGCTAATTTTATTTATCACCCATTTGTAAATCCAATGAACTTGCTAATCCCTTCCCCAACCCAAGTAACTTTAACCTCCAATGTTTTGCTGTTGAACCTGTCCTTTAAGTCACGGGTGAGTGACATAGACACTATCATGGTGTACAGGTATGCCAGGTGCCTTTGTCTAACTTTAAAGTCCATACGGGAGGTTAGGTGATGATAATGCTTCATAGCCACGTGTACCTGTAGGTGTTACGCCTCGCCTCTCAGCCTTATTGTGATGGTAATAAACCTTTAATAACAAGTGCTGTTTTGATGATGATGATGATGATGATGATGATGATGATGATGATGATGATGATGATGATGAATCGATGAACGGTGAATCGATAATAATAATAATTTCCCCAAGCAAATAATACATCCCTAACAAACAACAACAATGTAATAAAATAATATTATAGGATAAATAAATGACCTAGGCTACAGACAGCATAACAGGTGATAGATCAGAGAGAGAGAGAGACCGGAGAAAAACAATCATCTACAATGTTCTCCTCAACCCTAGCAACCAACAATCACCTGCTTGGTGATGACGGCACTCTCCACTCTCCTCCCCCACACAAACACACAATCACCTCCGCTAACAAACCTCCGCCCTCAGGTATCCTCCACATTGGGTCTAGGGTGGCCTGGCAGAAAGCAGTGAACGCTGGTGGTGTGGCGGCGGCAGCTTCACGGAAGATGAGATCCGAGAACCAAGAATCTCAAAGGTTCGAAACGTAAAATATTTCCCCAACTGGTGATTTCAAAATACATTTAACAAGCTCAATCGCGCAGACACAGAAATTAGATTCTCTAATTTCCTAGGTTTATTTTCCCGTAGCTGGTGATATGGAAGAGTATCCAACTCTCATTCAATCTAAATCACAGGGAGAGAATTCTCATAGATTTGCAAAGTTAAATGTGTTTCCCTCTAAGTGGTAGTGTGAGAGCACAGCTAACTGGGTTAATTAAGGTGTGGCACAACGATGGATATTGAAATGTTTCTAATGTTAAATTTTCCTCCTAATTGGAGATGTGAGAACGCACCTAACTGGGTCACATGAGCTGTGACTAGATATACGAGTGTGGCAGCTTAAGGGAGAGGGTTTGAGGCTAGGTGAAGGATGTGTCGATGTCAGTGTGGGGGGACGAGCCACCCAACATCACCAGCTGTGGAAGCGTGACCCCAGTCGTCCCTTCCTCTCTTATAGGTACGCCCATCACACTTCTCACCCTGTCGCACCTCTCACACAGCCGTTAACACTCTCACACACGTCAACGTGAAGAGGAGGAGGAAGAAGGTGTAGGCCAGAGGCGGAGACGTATGTCCTCCTACATCTGTCAGGCGGCGGGAATGTATCCAACATATCGATTGTGTCGTTACGAAACAGCGGCGGAAAGTCGAGGAGGTCGCGCCACCCAGTGCTCCCCCTCCCTCCTTACTACGTACCCTCCTTCCCCCCTCCTTCCTCACCATCCGTCTCTCCCTCCTCTCACTCCCCACCTCTTCCCGACCAACAGCTCCTCCTCCTCTCAGGACCGCCACTCTCTAATACAACCGTCACCCTCCATGTACACACACATCTGTACTGTTACTATCCACACACACACACACACACACACACCATGTCGTCCCGGGACCCCTCCCTCCCTCACACACACACACCCCCGAGAGAGAGAGAGAGAGAGAGTACAATGTACAGTATGGTAGGTGTACAGCCAGGTGCTTACACCCGCTTTAAGAAAACATTGTCAGTCTGAGACATAAACCAGCTATAAGCCGGTGTAAAACATTTTATAGTAGTGTAGGGGGAGATGAGGTACCACCTGCTGCCACTAGCACCATCACCACTACTTTACCGTCGCCAGTGTACCACCATTCTGTCACAACCACCGATGTTGGGAGGTGGATGTATTCAACTACGCCATCTGACAAAAACTACGCGAGCACGCGCACACACACACACACTGAGACACTTTAGGACGCCGTTTCTAAGTGAGCCAATTGGACGCAACCTTTCGTCCCCAGCTTGCGTGAACTCTAAACGTACGAACCTTTCAGAATTATGTTTCAGTGCGAGTGCTGGCAGACAGGTAGTGTGAACACCTACACCTCTGGCACAACAATCCAGGTTCCATTCCACATACAAAGAAAAAGAGTCATTTTTTGGTAGGCGATCAATAAATATTTCCCCCGTCTTTCCTGACCTAACTTATTAATGTTCTTTGATCGAGGAATGGTCTTACATATCCATCTTATTTTTGTCACAGCATCACCGTAGATACTGAAAGGGAGAGGTCGATCCGAGACGGCTGCTGGAGCTTTATATACCGCTAAGGTTCTCAGCCGAGGACTGGGATATAAGCCATTCTGTAAATAAGAACTTCGCGCGGAATTTTTAAACAAATAGCAGAAAGTCGGAACCGAACTAACGGGATGAAACATTTCAACCGCGATAATTTGGAACACTAGACAGCCATCTTTCATGCTGAGAGACGGTCAGATACCGCACTTATTTTCTGGGAAACGGTTTTCAAACTCAACAAGAATTCTCTGGAGGTTCGTATGTTAACAGTGAGCTTTTAACGTGTTCTTGGCAGTGTTCTTCTATTACTAGGCCTTACTCGATGCACTTCTAATCCTGAGAAACACTAATTACAGCTCGGCTTGTGGTCTTCCACATACACTTGTTAAACCGAGATGGTCTGTAAACTAATCTGAATTTCTTTCCGAGGTTCAATACTGGAAGTTATGGGTCACATTGCTAATGTGGAAATTTGTGTATTGAGACTAAATTCCACTGTACCTCAATATACACAAACGCACAAGCAGTAAGAACAGATCATCAATGACAATCAACATCAACCTCTTGAGTACGATGCCGACTTCCTGAGTACAAGTCATTAACCCAATGAGTAATTAATTGTAAAAGCTAATCTCTTCACAATAGTAATTATTAAATTAATTACATGATTAATAATTTACATTAGAGATATCGCACGACACAGAAAAAATCATTTATAATATTATATTCACATCATTTGGTGATAGCATGAGAAATGTTGAGAACTGACTCAGACACAATATATTGTACACGTATCTAAAGCCTACTAAAACAAGTCACTTAAACCTTGATGTAACACAATCAACTGCTTGATAACCATATTGTACAAGATACAAACCAAGCCTAGTTAATCTCTTGAGTGAAAACCCTACCGTCATATCCGCTCACATTAGCCTACAGTGTCACAGGACAAAATGCTGTGGTCAGCCAAGTTTTCCTATATGGTGTTTATACAAACTTAATATAATCGGTGATTCAGCTGACACCTGACTATTATCAGCACTTGATGAAATCCTCGATATCGTCCAGGATACTGAAGGGCTCAGTCGGTGGGTCCTTCTTAGTTTGTTAGCACCGAGCGTCAACAAATGTTTGGATGAAATAAATGGAAGGACGAAGTGCAATGAAAAAAAATATCCCCAAAATAATGGTTTCCCGATACTTTTTATAAATATCTTTCTTATTATTATTATTATTATTATTATTATTATTATTATTATTATTATTATCATCATTATTATTATTATTTACATCATCATTATCAGTAGTAGTAGTAGTAGCAGCAGAAGTACCGTATTATCAATATTATTTATCATTAAAAAAAAAGGGAGGACAAGACAGTGGCAGTACAACACTACGCAGCAGCAAGCACCCCACCACGTCAATAGTCAACAATTAGAACTTCCGGGAGGCCTTTTTACTCCTGGTCCTGATAGCAGGACTTCCTTCCTCCGAGACGGCCAACTCTGGGGCCACCATTATGAACACCACCCTCCGCTACGTCAAACTTTCCCAACGAGACAATATGCCAGAAGAGGTAATCCCGTCGAGCAATTTCCCACCAGTGATAACTAGAGTGAGTTAGACCAGGTTACTACACCACCACATCCTGCAACGTCACAGTAACACAACCTCCACTACCAGACCCTCCACGCTACACTACCAGGCCCTCCACGCTACACTACCAGGTCCTCCACGCTACACTACCACCCTTACTACCAGTCCAACAGGTCCTCCACCCCTTACACTACCACCTGGTCTCCGCTACACTACCAGGTCCTCCACGCCACACTACCAGGTCCTCCACGCTACACTACCAGGTCCTCCACGCACACCAGGTCCTCCACGCTACACTACCAGGCCTTCCACACTACCAGATCTTCCACTACACCACCAGGCCTTCCACACTACACTAGGGTCCCTCCACGCCACACTCCTCCACTACACCACGGCCCTCCACGCCAACCACTACCCAGGCCTTCCACGCTACACCACCAGGCCTTCCACGCCACACTACCAGGCAGCCACACGCTACACTGACAGGGCCTTCCACGCTACACTACCACGCTACACTTCCTCCACGCCACACTACCAGGTCCTCCACTACACTCACCAGGCCTTCCACCCACACACCAGGCCTTCCACGCCACACTACCAGGCCTTCCACGCTACACTACCAGTGGGCCTTCCACGCGCGACCCCGCCACACCACCAGGCCTTCCACGCTACCACTACCAGGCCTCCACGCTACACTACCAGGTCCTCCATACACTACCTGGTCCCCCACACTACACCTACCAGGTCCTCCACGTTACACCCAGGCCACGGGTCCTCACGTACACTTCCATTCCCGCAGGTCCTCCACGCTTACTCTACCAGGCCTTCCACGCTACCCACGCCACCTTCCACGCTACACTACCAGGTCCTCCACGTCTACACTACAGGCCTTCCACGCCACACCAGGCCTTCCACGCTACACCCAGGTCCTCCACGCTACACTACCACACCACCAGGTCCTCCACGCTACCACCACCTGGTCCTCCACGCCACTACCAGGTCCTCACGCCACACTTACCAGGTCCTCCACGCTACACTAACGCACACTACCAGGTCCTCCACTAAGGCCTGGCCACCACCACACTACCAGGTCCTCCGCTACTCTACCAGGCCTTCCACGCCACACACCGGCCACGCCACACTACCAGGTCCTCCACACACTACCAGGCCTTCCACGCTACACTACCAGGCCTTCCACGCTACACCTACCAGGTCCTCCACGCTACACTGGTCCTCCACGCCACACTACCTGGTCCTCCACACTACCAGGTCCTCCACGCTCACCAGGGCCTTCCACGCCACTACCAGGCCTACACTACCAGGTCCTCCACGCTACACTACCAGGTCCTCCACGCTACACTACCAGGTCCTCCACGCTACACTACCAGGTCCTCCACGCTACTCTACTAGGTCCCCCACCAGACATGGGGTCAATTATGAATTGAATTGGAAATGAAACAATACAAAATTCAAATTAATTTAATTTAATTAGAATTGATATCAATGAATTGATATGAATTGATGTGAAATGATATGAATTGATGTAATGAATGATGTGAATTGATAAAATAATATATTATCCTGTAATATGAGTCTTCATTATTTTGCAATAATTAACTTATATTCAAATAAAAACTAAAATATACAGTTGGCATGGCATCTCATGAAAGATGGCATGGAGCAAGATGGCCAGATCAAGCAAATACTTGCAAAAGTATCAAAGCTCCTCAGCTTCTGCAGGTAATCAACAGTGGCTGCAGAAGTGCTCTCAAATGAATTCAAGCTCCAGATGGCAACATGTACACGCTGGAATAGCCAGTTGACGATGATGAGGTCAGTACTTCGAGTTTCATCTGAAGTGTGGGACAAACTTGACACTCCCTACAAGCTGAAGCATTATGAGCTGAAAACATCAAGGAGCTCTGTGATATACTCCAGCCATTTGAGTATGTGACTAATCAGATTCAGGGACAAAACATGGTGACATCTAGTCTGGTAGTTAACTGTGTTGGTGGTCTTCGTGCTGCTTTAGCTAGTCTTCATGAAGTGTATAAAAGCAAGCTTGTCTCTCTACTTGAGTCCTCAACAGAGACTCGTCTGAATAAGTTTGAGTCTGTGGAGGCTTTCCGGCTAGCTGCCACCTTAGACCCACGTTACAAGCTGGACTGGTGTCATGACTATGACAATGAAGTGCAAGACATTCGTGACCTTCTGACTGTGAAATACAATATGGCAGGCAGTGTTGAGCCTACAACAACAGACACTTCCCCTGCTGAACCACCACCGATGAAAAGTAACAGTTTCTTTGGCCTGGCCAACCGGTCTTCTACACCAAGACCAACTCCATCAGAAACTGAGGTCTCACTCTACCTCAACCAGCCATGTCTACAGGAAGCTGGTGATCCCTTGGCTACTGGAAGGCCAAGCAACCTGAGTTTCCCGTCCTCACCAGGCTTGCAGCAAAGTACCTGGCCATTCATGCTACATCGGCTGCTGTGGAACGACTGTTCTCCAATTGCTGGCAAGCTCTTCAGGCCAGAGGTGTGCAATTTAAGAGATAAAAGATTTGAGCAGCTTATGATGATCAGATGCAATCCTCAGTAACTTGGATTCATTCAGATTTTGTTAACTAATACAAAGAATTAAACTATTTGTACTTTTGGTTGGTAAAGAATGTGATTGGTTTGTGTGGTAGTTTTTTTTTATAAAAAATAAAAAAAGTTAATTTGAAACCTCGATTTTTTTTCATTTTCATTAAATTAATGGTAGATTAGAATTGATTATGAATTGAAAAGCATTTAAATTGAATTGAATGAAATATCGACCATAATGAACTGAATTTGAATTGAAAAGCTTGTGAATTAAATTGAATTTGAATTGATTAATTAAAATTTTAATCTGAATTGGAATTGAATTGACAAAAATGAATTGACCCCATCTGTCTCCACGCTACACTACCAGGTCATCCACGCAAAACTACCAGGTATCTGTACTGTCACTATCCCCACACACACACACACCATGTCGTCCCAGGACCCCTCCCTCCCTTACACACACACACGAGAGAGAGAGAGAGAGAGAGAGAGACACTACATAAGTGCCGGGGATTACGTCTGACATAGCGGGCACCGGAGAAACAGAGAAGGGGGAAGTAGAGGGAAGGCGTGGGGTGAGAAGTAGCAGAAAAAGAGTGATAGATGACAGAAGAGAGTGGAAGAGGAAGGGGCAAAGACGAATGGAAGGAAGAAGAGAGGAAGGAAAAAAAGGAAGAGAGAGGATAGGGGAAGAAGGAGAAAGAAGCGAGGGGGGGGGAGACTGCTTGGTTGTATCAGGATTAACTTTTAAAGATTCTCACGGTGTAGTCTTAAGGAGTTGTCGACGCTATTTTTTCTTCCCTATCTCTATGCCACTGGTCAATAGTGGTAAGAAACTAAAGGAAATGTATACGGACATCTGCTTTTATGGGGGGAGGGAAGTGAGCGCCTAGATAGGTGGTCATTGAAGGACAAGGGACAACCAACGGCAGGTACTCCTCACTTAGCATGTTGTAGTGTGTGTGTGTGTGTGTGTGTTACTGTACGCACAAAAATCAGCCACCACTCACAGTTAATATTCGCGCGCCATCAAGAACACACAACAATAAATATCAAACACATATGCACATTTTTCCCCCAGGAGCATCAAGTCCCAACACGGGTACTAAATACTGTACTGTACTGTTGGTCAGGTATAAATCTGGACAAACCAAATACTGAAACACTGTACTCTACTACACGAAGAATACCTTTCCCTTTTCCCGAATTTTAGTGCACCATAACGTTATCACCTTGAGTACGATGCCAACCCCTAGAGTACAATGAATTAGCTCAGTAAGTGAAATATCTTAACCCCTTGAGTAGGATGATTCAATCCCTCGAGTACGATGTCTTAACCCAATAAATATCATGACCTACTACTCCCTCGAGTACGCTGACACTGTACTCAGCGAAGGCAGGGTTTAGTTAACGTGCTCAAGGACCCAATTAAAAATCTCCTCAGTGACCTACAAATTGACGACTTTGTAGGTCAGAAAACCTACAACGACTACATCACCTGGCTAGAGAACCGGCTTCACCTGCCACACACTCTACAACACAACAGAGGTTACACGCACGCACGCACACACACACACACTCGGTGTCTCCATGACCCTGTGAGGAACTTAAGGCACCCAAAGCTACTAAGACCACCCCCCCCATGCGCTACTCTCAGTCCCAGACCTCCATAAAATATCATGGTGTGAAGGTGTGGAACAACTTACCCCACCCATCCGAGCAAAGACTATGCTCCCTTCCTTTAAATCATATCTTGAAAAATATCTATTGTCTAAGTATTAATATTTCTTGTAACACCTACTATATTTACAGTACCTGCTTTTATTGTACCATCAAAACCGTTTTATCGGAAATTATCATGTAAATATATAAGTAATTACCATTGCAATAAACATAATTGCCAACTAGACATAATCCTGACAGCTCTGTCCTCTTGTTCAACCTTATTACTGTACAACCCATGTTGTACTGCTCCCCCGTTATACTTATGTTTTCAATTCCACTGTAATTCCTGTATATATATATATATATATATATATATATATATATATATATATATATATATATATATACATAAAATATAAATAAAAAATAAAAAAAAATTAAAGTGATAACCGTTGTAACATTATGAGATGTTCGTATTACCACCATACTATTGTACTATTCCAGATGATACTAAATGTTACATAATACTTCCTTGAGATAAATGTATAGTATATAATTATCAGGTGCCTAAAAGAGAGCCCAGGTTCTCAACTGGCTCAGCCATGTTAATATTATTGTTATTATCCACACTGTATCTCTGTTTTCTGGCTAAATAAACTGTTTCAATTCAAATTCAATTCAAGGTCCTTCATATCAACACCTACGGACGAGTTACTGCACCACGAGGCCTATGTGACCTCACACAGTATGGCAAGAGACCAGTCCAGGCCATCAGCTGCAAACTATAGTAATATGTATGTTCAGTTCATGTTCCTTCTCCTTTCAGTAATGAAATCTTTTGTTAAACGACCCACCCACCCCAAGTCTTTGTATGTAATACGTCATTTTTGTCTGATGTATATTTTCAACCTTCGGGGTGACCCAGGATGAGGGTGACCCAGGATGATGAGGGTGACCCAGGATGATGAGGGTGATCAGGATGATGAGGTGACCCAGGATGATGGGGGTGACGCAGGATGATGAGGTGACACTAAGGATGATGAGGGTGACCCAGGATGATGAGGTGACCCAGGATGATGAGGTGGGATGATGAGGGTGACCAGGATGATGAGGTGACCCAGGATGATGAGGTTGACCCAGGATGATGAGGTGACCCAGGATGATGAGGGTGACCCAGGATGATGAGGGTGACGCAGGATGATGAGGGGAACCCAGATGATGAGGGGTGACCCAGGATGATGAGGGTGACGAAGATGATGAGGGTGACCCAGGATGATGAGGGTGCCCAGATGATGAGGGTGACGCAGGATGATGAGGTGACCCAGGATGATGAGGGTGACCTGGGAATGATGAGGGTGAAGCAGGATGAGGGTGACCCAGGATGAGGAGGGTGACCCAGGATGATGAGGGTGACCCAGGATGATGAGGTGACCCAGGGTGAGGAGGGGTGACCCAGGGGAGGGTGACCCAGATGAGGGTGACCCAGGATGAGGAGGGTGACCCAGGATGATGAGGGTGACCCAGGATGATGAGGGGACCCAGGATGATGAGGTGACCCAGGATGAGGGTGACCCAGGATGATGAGGACGCAAGATGATGAGGGTGACCCAGGATGAGAGGGTGACGCAGGATGATGAGGGTGACCCAGGATGATGAGGGTGACCCAGGATGATGAGGGTGAGGGTGACCCAGGGTGAGGAGGGTGACCCAGGACGAGGAAGGTACCCAGGATTAGAGGGTGACCGTGATGAGGAGGGTGACCCAGGATGATGAGGGTGACCCAGGATGAGGAGGGTGACCCAGGGTGAGGAGGATGACCCAGGTGAGGAGGGTGACCCAGGATGAGGAGGATGACCCAGGTGAGGAGGGGTGACCAGGGTGAGGAGGGTGACCCAGGATGATGAGGGTGACCCAGGATTAGGAGGACCCAGGTGAGGAGGGTGACCCAGGGTGAGGGTGGGGAGACCCAGGGTGAGGAGGGGTGACCCAGGATGAGGAGGGTGACCCAGGATTAGGAGGGTGACCCAGGATGAGGAGGGGTGAACCAGGGTGAGGAGGGTGACCCAGGGTGAGGAGGGTGACCCAGGGTGAGGAGGGTGACCCAGGGTATGAGGAGGGTGACCCAGGATGAGGAGGGTGACCCAGGAGGAGGGTGACCCAGGACGAGGAAGGTGACCCAGGATTAGGAGGGACCCCA